CCGCATAAGGTTACCGATTATGACAGAAACCTTACACTTAGCATAAGAAACACTGTCAGCACTCAGTAACTTGCAATACAAATGGCTGCTCCATATTCAATACAGTCATGTTCCAACTACGGTATTTCCTACATAGATCGAATATTTGATTGCGCCTCAGCGCCTCTGAGTGTTTCCTGGCCTAATTGTTCAGAATAAAAACACAATTACTATTATTTTGATTAGAATCATCATCATTAGGATAAGTAATCAATTTAATATGCTAAAAGTAGCGAAAAACGAAACCAAATCAATAGGAAATATACACTACACCCGACACCTTAACAATTACGAACCAAAGCGCTCACCTTCCTGGTGGATCCCCATTCTGGTCAAAGTAAAGAGATTCATTGGCGTAGTTTGTGAAAGACACATTAATAAGATGGCTGAGGAAAATGGATCCGTTAACAGGGAGGAATCCGGGACAGACCCCAGGGCGGCCATTACAGACGAGCTGGTGAATGTTGTGGAGTGCATGGGCCATGGTGTAGATAGCGTTTACAACAAACCCTAACTTAGCATCTTGGACGTAGTTAATACTAAGATCTTCTTCGCCAGAACCTAGAAATATAACAATTTAAGAAAAATGAAAAATAAAATAACCGAAAGATAATGAAACTAACTTAACGTATTTTGAAATACGAAACTGCTTTCCTCACAATTTTAGAGTATCATCGAATGATGCATGGATTGTTTGTCCTCCACTATTTACATACATTAATACATACAATGTCTACAGTGTACCCTTGGAAGTAAAGCTGAAAATGAACAGGAATGGATGCTAATGCCGGGTAGTGCGCCTTTATCAAATCTTTCTAATAAATTTTTAGAATATCATCGGTTGATGCATGGACGTTTTATCCTCTGCTATTTATATACATTAATACATACAATGTCTACAGTGTACCCTTGAAAGTAAAGCTGGCAAAGCCCAGAAATGGATGTTAATGCTGGGTAGTGCACCTTTATCAAATCTTTCTAATAAAATTGCGAGCGAAATCTGGTAACGTGAATTCGTCCAAACTTAATTAGTCTTTCGCTGATAACGGCAATTTTGCATCGAACCACAGTTAATTATCATTATCAGTTTTCTCAATAATTTGCCCCGGATTTGGAGATAATAAGAATTTAAAGATAATGAAAATTACCCACTGGGCATTCTGAAAAGACAGAACAATCAACAATTTTACCGGAAGAAACCAAAACGTCGCTATAGAAGTTCGCAGAGTGTGATACCTACATGTAGTTGGAAAATTGATGAAATTAATGATTAATTTGCATCCTCCCGCCAGACGGTGAACATTTGAGAATAAATATGAAGTATTCCCGACGGACGAATCAAATATATATGTTACGGGTATAATGGTGCAGACCAGACTGATATTGATATATAATCGATATCAATCTGATAGAGTCGCCAAGCATGATATTTCAGTTTTTTTTTCGATATGTGCGCGTGTACGTGCGCGTGTGCGTGTGTGTGTGTTGCTTGCAGCGGATACCTGTGCAAGGAGCAGAGAATCTTTTGTCTCTGTTGTCCCCATTTATATAGCACTGGAACTTCTCTTGCCAGAAATCTTGGAACCAGGGATTTCTGTTTGGCTCAAATGGGCTGAGGTTGAAGTAATGCTGATCGAAGGCTCTTAACGGCGGGGAATGGAGCCGTATTGACATGCCGCCTGCAGCGGCCTCCTCCAGGTCCTTCACGACATCGGGCCTGACCGCCCACCCATCGCTGAAACCACAAAATAATGAAGATTTACGACTAATCAAAGATCATTAACAGAGATAAGGGACTATTTTTAAACACATCCCACTATCCAGTATTTCCTAAAATTGGAGATATTGATAAAGACATTTCCTTCTGGCTACCGGTCATTTCAAAGACTATGTAATCTCTTTCTCTAGCACAAGCGAGAACGCAACCATTGTCCTCGAGAAAATTGAAAGAGATGACATATTTATTTTTTATTTTTATTTGACGATGACAAACAGAAAACAATCACCTTCCAATAAACAGAAATTCCCCAACGGCGTTTAACCTCGTCGTGGCATTCAGGAGCCCTTTTACTGTCATGCCCTCACAGAAGCAGACGACGACGCGAGCGTTTGGTGTTTCCTTTAAGTTCCTGATGACGGTGTTGTAAGACTCATAATCTGCGTTATTCTTTACTTTCTCGGCAGTAGCAATACACAGTCCTGCTTTTTTGGCAATTGCCGTGAAAGCTTCCATTCCACTAGCACCATAGTTCCCTATAAAAAGACAAACAACGAAAGAATATAATATGTCCATCAGACACGTAATCTTTATACGTCATATATGGAAATGTACACTATTCTTTCCACAAACTGCTCTAAGTATAATAGGTTATATCATTGCAGGCAAGTGTCCTCTTTGTCTTTGTCATGAAATTCTAGTTTTTTCTCCATCAATTAAATTAGGTCGGTAATTTCAACAATGAACCATGCCATATCATCGCTATACATAAATAAAATCTGAGACTTTAAAACAGTCTCATTTATTCCAAATGTCTAGAGGTATAGCAATTTGATGCCGACTGATTCTCCCGTATTGGTTTCAGAAATGCATTTGCCAAGTGTGTGTTCACGGTTACCTATTAATGCCCTGCATTAAACAGTATCTTGTCTGTTTTTGAAGGCATCACATTGATCTACGAGAGATCATAAGATGAGGTCGGCATCAAAAAGAAACGAAAGTAAACCGCATTTAACTCGGGGTGTATATTACGAGCAGTCCCTTAACGGGATTGCCGATTGCCAAATGCCTCCATCAATCAGAAAAAAAAAGCCATTTTGAACAATTTGAGCTGAATGGCAGTTTCAGATGGAATGTATCAAGCTGACAAGACAGAAAGTATAAAGCATCATTTTCTTATACCAGATTTCATTTGGCGCCATTTTGAGGTTAATCAAACCGGACATTTTATTAGACCGTTCAACGAAGTCACAGCATAGCGTCATTGGTCAATCTGAACAATTGTCCTATGTATCTCAGGAATATAAGCGAGCTGCACATTTTGCCTACTAAATTTATTAACGCTTTTTGGGACATTTTGAACATCAAAACTAGCTTTTCAATTCACAAATAAAACCATAATAACAAAAGATACAAAAAATATATAATTAAAGCAAATATTTTGAAATATCTTCCACCGATATACAGTTTTTAGTTTCCGTTCATCAATATGGCTTCAGCTGTCATCATAGGTATGATGATGATGTTGAAAAAACAAATATAAACATTTACTGCTATATCCATTTTGTTCACACTAAAAGCTTATAAGCATGTATACGATTTTAATACATGATCTACAGAAGAATCATCTGCAATAAAATGAAATATTTGTTATAGAAAAAATCTAACACACAAACTCCATCTGAGATGGATTTCAGCTTCTCTTTCTGGTTTGAAAAGCATCAGTAAGAACACTGTTACACCAGGATTCCTTCCATATGTCATATTCAATATGATCTTATCTTATTTGAGTATTTTGCAAATTCCAAAATTAACTTTTATTTAATTGTGAAGATATTTATACAAAACTCTAGAGAGTGTTGAATCAATATAAATTTGATCACAATACATTTATCTGCTCTAAAATTTGATGTTTATTGAGTTGAATACTCTTAATAATCGTGACATATGTCGTTTTATTATTTGCCTAAAGAAAAAAGTCCCTTATATTAACTTGTATTCACAGACGTCTTCCCAAAGTATTACTCGCGTACTTGTATCATCACAAGTGGGACTACTTGAACTCTTCTCAACCCCACAATCAGCATGTCTGTATTATAGGCAGCTTTAAGTGAAATTAAAACTACACAACAGGTATTCATATCATAATATCTCTTATGTTTAAAAGGCCAATTCTTCTTTTCAAATAATCTCAGAAATTGAGCTATGTACCCCATTGTTTAGAGAATTCATTTCAGGTTATCCAATTCAGCTGAGATTGCATTTATCGTCCTCGAAAAGAGATAGAGAGAGAGGAAGACGATAACATTGAAGACTTTAAAAATAGTGAGATAATTAAATGTGTGCACTGAACTTTCTTTCAGTTCTTAACGTATTAATAATTTCCAGGACAAATATGTTCTTATGGAAGCCTTAAGCAATGTATTGCTGCTTACTTATTTAAGGTCTAGCGTTCAATAACCCATTCCCTACATTAGTTAAGAAGGCGATAACAGTAATTACCTAAAACTAATGGATGTCCAAACGTTGGGCATAGTTTCCTTCATAACTTCATTTTGAATAATCATAATGCTATTACCATGTTCCCAGAATAAGAAATCCATCGAGACTTCAGTTATATGTATTTGGATTACTGTAATCTTTTGGAAACCGCCTTTCGAAAATATGCTTCAGGACAATTAGACAGATGATTAGATTGAACCTAAGTACAATATTTCATATCACTGTAAGAAAAAAGCCTTTCCGACGAATGCAAGAAACTTTATAACTGTGTGTTCTACAACTTTCTCTTATACAAACTTATTCAAAGAATTAGATGGTGATTAAGTTTGTGTACTTTGAATAACCTCTTCTGATTTATTCGTAATTTATTAAACAGAAAGTAGTGCACATTTCATATGTTTATCAGAGGTGTACGGATATAGCAGTGAAGAAGACCGTGCCGCTCCTCTGTCCTTTCTGACATTCATGGTAGCACCTTCAATACGAGTGACGTCTGTTAAAGACCAATGTGGCCTCAATCAATTTCTTTGATTCTTAACGTAATTCAATCATACTGATTCATGTGTTCCAGTGCATCCTTTCTCCTGTAATCATCATTCTAGTTTTGCCGTGTAAACCGCCATCCGTGAAACGCCATTTCATGGACCACCTATGCCATATATAGAACTTTGATGACTCGTATGACAAATCAAGGAAAATCAGTTCAATAGAGATCGTAATGCATATATAAAAGGGCGAAAATTACATTTGTTTCTTCGATAAGATCGATAGAGTTGCGGAAACTGTGTGTTCCAGATATTAAGTCTTCGGCAGACCACAGTTGCGAGGATAGTTATATCCGTTTCAAGGACTTGTGCTTTTCACGGCTTTTTATTTCACAGAGAAATTGTAAGGAGACATGCTTTATCAATTGATAGATATTTTCAATTGGTAAAGTATATCAACTGATATACATTTTCAATTGATATACTTTATCAATTGAAAATATCTATCTCCACTGTCAGAACATATCATTGTGAAAGAGTTGAGTATGAGTGTGGGACAACATGTGCGTCAAACATAATGTATTACCCCCTTGATTTTCTCTTTTTTTATTTGGCATTTTCTACAGTCTTGTCAACACTATAACAACATCAACAAACACAGGAAGGACATGTCGTGTGCATATCAGACACAAAAGTATACTTATAACCACGCGCGAGTATATACTTGTTGTCTCTCAGTAGGTACTTTCTCAGTATAGAAAAGTCTAACAAGAACAACTTCGCAAAACAAAGAGACCCTCCAACGTACAGGGTGACTAAAATGTGTGTGTGTGTGTGTGTGTGAATATCTAGTGGAAAATCTCTCTTTAGCCCTCGTAGAGTGTATATCTGTTCGTGACGTTATTATAGAAACAAGTAGATACACGTACAGAGGTTTTTCATAAGACCATTTTGGCCTTAAGAGTGGATAACCTAAGGACAGATCTACATGTATCAGATAAGCGATACATGTAGATCTGTCCTTAGATCTACATGTATCAGATAAGCGATAAAAACGCTTTATGTTAGAAAACTCATATTCATTAATACATAAGTTTGATGTAGATACAAAACAAAAAAATGTCACAAAGTCTTTAACTATCTTACGTGCCAGTTAGATTTTAAAAATCGTTGTCCTATGTAATTTTTTTAATTAGAAAACTTAAGATTGAAATTAAATTTGGTTGCTGCGTCAAACTCCAAACTGATACATTGATTCATTATCATGTGAATTTAATGGCATTGGTTCAAGTAGAACATATTTCCGTGTTTATGTCAACATCAGTTGTCTGTCGTGTTTTTTAAGGCCTCCACCTGACCTGACCCAGTAAACTAATGACCGAGGTCATCATATAAGTCTATAGGTTGACAAACACCTTCGGACAAAATGTAATAAAACGTCAAAGATTTCGGGGTTTGCGTGACGGTCTAAAAAAAAAAGTAAAAATGAATTTTGTTTTTGAGAGAGAATAGTTATGAAATTGAAAAAAAAAAGCCGGAGACATTTGATATTTGTGACAGGAATTTCGATACACTCCTTCGAAACTACTGTCATCATTTGATTAAAAATCAATTCTTTGGGTAAATACCACTTCTTTATTGTGGTGTTTTATTAGAACTGTATTATATATTACCTTTTGAATTCCTAAAAAATTGATAAGCACATTTCCTTTTAAAAAATTGAAATTCATAAATATCATAAATTACCGCTTCCGTTTCATTGAAGAGTACATGTTATTTTAATTTTTGTTATCTACAGTATGCTATATCTGAGATGAGTATTATGACTTAATTATTTCCATATTACTTGTATCAGTCTAAATCCTAGATTTCTTACGTAAATAGCAAAGTACACAAGAACACGGAATCTGCGTGTCACCACGGTGTCGATCTCGTGTCTTCTCATGTTGCGTGAAGCTGCTGGCAAACTGCGATAAGTACTCCCTACTCAACTTAATCCGTTCACAACGCCGCTCTGACAAATCGGTGTAGAGTGTCACGTCTTTAGTATCAATCGATCCCTCCTCCAACGTCCGCCCAATTATTTCATTATTTTAGAACCATTTAGGGGCACTCATGTTCAAACAATACAACAGTAATGTGAACATTCCAGACACGTCGGTGACGCACACAATTTGTGGAAAAGTTGCAGACTTCGGTCATTATTTATACTACTGTACCCTCCAATATAGAAAGAAGTCAGCTATAATTCAAAAGTGCACATTTTTGTATAATGTCCAGAATATCTGCGTTACCTTATAATTTCACATTTGGTACCTTAATACAATTACATGACTAATGGAGTTTACAGACAATTGTCACGAAACCGTTTGGCCTCAGTTTGCCCATCGCATGTAGCTAACCGCCAATAAGACCATTTAATAAGGAGTAGAAGGTTAGTAATGACTTCACCTTCTTCGGGCGCCCGTTTACATTTTTCCTCAGTAGACTAGATTATAAAATGTTTACTACCCGATGTTTACTACTCAATGTGTGAAGGATGTTACTTT